AAACGATGAAAGGCAGAATGGGAGACCACATTTGTAGACTTGCGGCGACTAGACCAAAACAAAATAAGAAAACATTCATGTAAGCTTACGGAAAAAAAGAAGAGACAGAATTAGTGTGTCCCGTCGACCTCCATATTAAGGAGCAATTGTCTCTAAGTGGAGGTGCCACCTCTACTCTTACACTTGAGGATACAGTAGCTTCAGATCCAAAATTGCAGCATTTCAATTTTGGGGGATGATGATCAAAAGTAGTCAAAATTCTAATTTAAATTCCTCAAATCTTACAATTTTATGATATCACTTACATGTTCCAATCTTGATTTCATTATAAAATCTATGGACCTTAAATCCCTACACTATTCCTCATTTAAATCCTTAAAATCTTTCAAATCTTATGATTTTCATAGGATTAACAATTTTAAGGTCCAAGTTAAATTGATTACATTTATACGAAATGAATCAAGTTAATGGAATAAGATCAAAGCTTTAGGTTACTTTTACTTATTTTCGCCCAAATTAGTAAAATAAACTCGTTTGTTGTACTTCTCCTCCATCAACCTCATCTAGGTCTCTCTTACTAGCCTTCACCAACCATTATCAATTTACATCAATTCATTAATCATCAATTCACCCCTTCCCATCATTAACTTTGAGAAATTATCATTTTAAATGTTCTTTCTTTGTGTTATTCATGATTTTTCGTATTAATATTATTTTGTGTTCATTTTTATATGAACCTTAAAATCTTACCATTTTACAATTCAATTTTATGATTCAGATTTTATCCCAATTTTCAAATTTTCATAACATCCCCACATTAACTGCATTGGTAATGATATTGATAACGACGAGGATGAGTATGTCCCACCTCAAGGGAATATAAGTGTAGGCGTTGAGACGACCACACGAGTCCGGACAAAAGAATAGAAACATATTGATAAAAACCGAAATCTCCCAAGTGCCTAAAAGAAACCAATTTTCATTTGAGCCATGATCCAAACGAAAATGTGCATTTTGTTTGTCCATGGCTCAAACAAAAATTGGGACTAAATTGCAAGTTTGGTCACTCGAATTGCTACAAAATTTCATGTTTGGTCACTCGAATTCGTTTATTCCATTCGTAGTCACTTAAATTAGTTGAACACTCCAAGTTCGGTCACTCTCCGTTAACCTCCGTCAGACTCCGTTAGTGCCATCAATTAACTGCTGACGTGGCTAACAGAGATGTCTAGTCCAAGAAAAAACAGAAATTGATCAGCCACGTCATAATAATATGCCACCTCATATAAACACAACCCGACCCACCCAACCTAAAAAACTATTAACCCACCCAGAAATCGAACCCGTGACCCATCCACCCTTCTTCTTCTTCCTCTATACCCTACATCTGCCGCCGCCGGGGGATTTCCCCTCGATCTCCCTGCTGCAGCCTCCACCGCCGGATACAGATTCGGATATTCATCTGCCGCCACCACAAGAGTGATCGATATCCAATCCAAACCACCCCAGCCGCCGCCACATCACAATCGAGCTGTTGCGGTGTCATTCAAGCCACACTCGCAGGATGGCGGCGGCGGCGAGCAGCAACACAACAGCCACCGGAGGATTCACGTCGAGGACAGGTTCACCGATTACATCGGTCGGGTCAGGAGGAATCTCCGGTCGCTGTCCACCGTCGGCGGCGGCGACAACAATCGGTATAATTATAATATGCGCAATTCAGGGGTTGGGAAGGACAGCAAGTTCTCTGACTATATTAGTCATGTGAAGAACAAGTTCGTCCGTACTTCAACTACTTCGCCAGCTGCTGCTTCTGCTGCCAAGCCCAAGTCACGGATCAAGTGATTGATTTGGGTACTTACTGCTTTAAGCATACTTAATTAATTAATTGGCGTTCATTTCACAGCCAGGAATAAGTCGTTTTCTCGATTGATATATATATATATATATATATATGGCGAGTTCTACGATACCCCGGGTGAAATCCCAGGTACCGTATACCTTGAGTATGAAAACGCTATCCAGACCTTGAATTGACTGATCTTTCTAACATGATACTATACTCTGACCCTTGAAGATCAAAATCTAGGTCTTATTTCTCTAAATCTTATACTCTAAGATCAATTTAATTAGAAACAATAATCAACGGTTATGATTCGTCTAAATATAAGCAAATTAATTAAAGCACAATTTTAGGGTACATAGTTTATGATTTAGATAATTAGGACCTAGGGTTCACTCAATACGGGTTAGGGAATAGGATCATGCCCAAAAATCTTGCTAATTCGAGGTCTAGATAGCGTTTTCATACTCAATGTATGCGGTACCCCGGATTTCACCCGGGGTACCATAGAAGGCGCCATATATATAGATATATATATATATATATATATATATATATATATATATATATATATATATATATATATATATATATATGATTCCCTTTGTCTCTCGTATGTGCGTTTGCTTGTGTATGATCTTGATTTATGAAATATTTTCATAATTTGTGGGATAAATCTCCTGCTTATTTTATTGAACAAATGAACAATGTTTTCTAATGATGGTTTGAGTGAGTTCTAGAAGTTGTGGGATATATCTCCTGCTTCCTTCATTGAACAAACGCATACTCCCTAGCAACCTTCGTCTTTCTTCTTCCTCGCGAATATGGATCAGGTGGCGGGGGTTGCAGCAGGGAGATCGAGGGGAAACCCCCCGGCGGTGGCAGAAGTAGGGTATAGAGGAAGAAGAAGAAGGGTGGATGGGTCACGGGTTCGATTTCTAGGTGGGTTAATGAATTTTTTTAGGTTGGGTGGGTTGGGTTGTGTTTGTATGAGGTGGCATGTTTTTCTGACGTGGCGGGTCAATTCTGTTTTTTCTTGGGTTAAAATTGGGTGACTAGGCATCTCTGTTAGCCACGTCAGCAGTTAACTGACGACACTAACGGAGTCTGACGGAGGTTAACGGAGAGTGACCGAACTTGGACTGTTCAACTAATTTAAGTGACTACGAATGGAATAAATGAATTCGAGTGACCAAACTTGCAATTTAGCTCAAAAATTTGTTTCCTTTGGGCCATGGTGTAAAAGGATATGGATTTCGGTTGGGTCATGGTCCAACAGAAATTCATATTCTTTTACACCATAGTCAAACGAAATTCATGTCTATTCAAGTTATTAGAGTGCTTTTCAATTTTTTAGAGATTCTTATCTTGTCACTGTTTCTATTCATGATTTGAGGTGATTGCAACTCCAGAATGTGATAGAAAAGTTGAAGTGATACATGTTTGTTGAAGGAAAGCACAAGTGTAATTTTGATGTTACAACAAAACGAATTAGTAATTTTAAAGACGAACTTTATCAATTCCATTTGATTTCAGTGCCAAATGATACGAACAAAGTAGAAAGGTACCATGCTTTGGATAACACGCATTAGCATCAGAGCATGAGATATATAAAAGATCATTTGTAGGGAGTGGTTATCATTCTAGCTGCAGTCACCAACTAGATGCATGTATATTTGAAGTACAAGCAAAAGTTCGCTCACTATCACTTCGCGTATCACAAAGAAATATTTTAAAGAGTAATAGTTTTAATGTTGACCCAAAAGTGAAAGTAATCTAATTTCATTTTTAATCATTCTTTTCATAGATTTGTTAATTACAATAGCATATGGTCGATGAACTTGCATAACGTAGAGGGGTCGTCGAATAGATTATTTATGTTTAAGCTTCTATCATGACGCTAATGTTTCAATTTGTATGACTTTCTTTTTTCCAGATTTGAGGTAATTGTGGTTCTCCTTTATGAAAATTTGGACTAATTGCAGGTTTGAGGAGGTTCAAATCAAATTGATCGGGTCAAATTAGGTTGGATACCTATGAATTTGGATTCAATTGTCTTTCTCAAACAAAAGGAAAAAGCGAAATAAAAAAACACTAAAGCCAAAACTCGCTACCAACTCAAAACTCGCCAATACCAGGTTCAACTCGCTTTGACCTGGTTCGACCGAGTTTTGGACAAATTCACACCTAACATAACACGACATTATAAAAACAAATAAAACTCACTCGCGCCGAAAACCTGTAAAATCGGGTTCAAGTCGCTTTGGTTGGGTCGTATTAGATTGCATACTCATCGGTTTGGACTCAATTGTAATTCTCAACCAAAAGGAAAAGATAAAAACAAATACTAAAGTGGATAAAACTCGCTCATGACCCCAAACTCTCAATAATGTGTTCAACTTGCTTTGACCTGGTCGACCCAGTTTAACAAATTCACAATTTACCCAACTTGTCAATTACAAAAGCGGATAAAACTCGCTCTCGATACAAAACGCGTCAACGATGGGTCAGAGTTTAATTGTCATTCTCAACGAAAAGGAGAATGAGAAATAAAAAATTAAAGCGTACAAAACGCGCTTTCAATCTAAAACTGGTCAACAACGTGTTCAACTCGCTTTGAATAATTTTTTAACAAATTAACACTTGGTCCAACCTGCCAACTACAAAAGTGGATAAAACTCGCTCACAATACAACACTCGTCAAAACCTTAGATTCGAGTTCAATTGTCTTCCCAGCCAAAAGAAGAAGAAAAAAGAAATTTATAAATGCTAAAGTCGGTTTCAAGTCGCTTTGACTGGATCGAATTAGGTTGGATACCCATGGATTTGGTTTTAATTGTGATCATTGTTCAACAAAAAAGAAAAAAAGAAAGAAAAAACACTAAAGGGGATGACACTCGGTCCTGATACAAAACTCGTGGTAGCGGCCTTGGAAAACGATGGTGGGGTACAATTTTGGATTCCGCCAACAGTATTTCGAAAAGCCATAGACGAAAATCTAGCGAAAATAACTAAACACAAAGGTTGTAAGATGGAGAGTGGGTAAAAGAAGGAATTGGAATTTCTCCACTTGCACTTGGAGGAGTGTGAGAGCCACTAATGAATAATAACTCCCATGTTAGACTTTTATATATGATTATATTATTATTGCGACCTCCTACAGTAACTTGAGTATAATTTCAAGTTAGGTAACTTATATCGATATAAACCATTAAAATTAATTAAATACATTTTGGACCATTGATTAAAAAACTAAAAACATTCTAAAAATTAATTAAATCCAGTTTATTTTTATGGAATGTAGGGGTCGTTTGGAAGTTGTGATTGTTAAATAGATGTATTGTTGAGAATGCATGTATAATATTATACATGTATTGTCGAATTTGATGCATTGTAGAATACAACGTTTGGTATGTGTGATTGTGTATGTCGCATCAACTAAAAGCTGAGACAAAACAATATCAACTCAACTATCTCAACAATCACAACTAAAAGTTGAGATATAACAATCACTCAAAATGAGTGATAGTTTCTGTCACATCATAGAAACAATCCATGTATTGTTTCTGCTATAAAAAAACGATGCATTGTAAATAATACATGCATAATGAAAATCTCAACAAAACAATCGCAACTTCCAAACGACCACGTATTTCTTTTGTGGAAAGTTGTCTTTAGTTTTGAACTTTTACCATAGCTGTCAATGGAAGGCTTTTACTTTTCTTTTGGGTTAATACCTTATTTTGGCCCGAACTATGACCATATAATTAACTTTGGCGCATGGTTTAAGAAATTAACATCCTGGCCTCAACTATGCACCATATAGACTCAATTGGCCCGACTCGTGAATTTTCGTCAAATTATACGGTCAACGTCATTGACCGTTAATGAATCAGCATGCTACGCTGACGTGGATGCTATGTTGAAAATAAAAATAAATAAATAAATAAAAATTTAATAAAATAAAAATTATCATTCTCTCTCGTCACTCAGCCCACACAGCCCTATCCCTTCTTCCCCGATGATCCCTTTCCCAACCCTCTCTGACCCGGTTCCTTGGTCCTTTCCTCCTCAACCTTCCTCCTCATCCGCCGCCGCCATCTCCAGCAACTGAACCTTTCTCCTTTTCGTGTCCCTCGCCTCCCTCTCCTTTCTCTATCAAATTGGAAATAATAGTTGAGGAAGGAGACAAACAACAAATCCTTATTAATTTAAGGCAAAATACAGCTGCATATCCATAACTATCACGTTTGTGACAAATATATCCACAACTATCGAAATACACGAAATATCCAAAAATCGGAAGGTTGTGTGACAAATCTATCCACTTCCGTCTGAAACTATAACGGTGTTAGTGACGCCGTTAATTATTGTGACGGAATGCTGACTAGGATCAAAATCACTGTCCACGTCAGCAACAAATCAGCATAATATTAGAGTTAAATGACATGTCAGAAATTAATTAATAAAAAATTTAAAATTAAATTTTTTTGGCGATCATCCCCATATTTTCGGCAACGCTATCCCGACGCCGAGCTTCATTACCAAGCGGCCAAATCCCAACAGTGAGCTTGGTTTCCTCCTCTAGCTTCCTCTCACGCTTCCGTCGCCGACATCGATCTTGGTCTTTTGCTTTCTCAATCGACGATCTGGGCTTGCCCACTTGCTCAATCGACTTTCTGTTTCTTTCTCAGATGGAAACCAATCCCACAGCCGATGTGAAAACCACCAAATCGAAGCAAGCAGAGGATTGGAAAAACCCCAAATCGCATCAAGCAGAGGATGAACCCCCCCACATCGACCGCGGATGGAAGAAGACCTGGCGGCGGGGTCACTTAGCCGGCTCGATTCCCAGTGAACTCGCTGAGATGCCCAACCTCGACGCCCTCCCAGAGTCCTTCGCGCGGCTGCTTGAAGGGAAGTTCCTGTCTCAATATCTCTCCTAGCGACGTTGAGCTCCTCAACGACCGGTTGACCACAAAAGATGGAGCTAGTAAAGATCGACTTAGGGCAAGGACAACCGTTGCGGCGGATCCAGCTTCACCACAGAAACCCAAATTCGACCTCCGAGCCTAAGAGTTTGATTTGAACGAATCAACATCGAGCTTCAGCTTCCAACTACGATGTAACCTCCGAGCTTCAATCAAAAACCCAGATTCGAGCTCCGAGTCTCCAAGATTGATTCGAATGGAATCATTTCAAACTTCGATTGACCTTTGAGCTTCAACCCAAAAACCCAGATTCAATAGAGGCGTTTGTGTTGGTACTTGGAGGCGATTGCGTACGTGAACGACATGGCGAAAGGGGTGGTATAAATGAGATGCGCTACCGAAAATCCAACTTCTTCTGCATCATCGGACACATCGAGGGCAATAGAGAGAGATCAAAGATGGGGCTTTAAGGAAGAAAAGGAGAGAGGTGGGAAGACGATGGGAAGAGGAAAGGAAGGATTTTATCTTTTTTTTTTCATTATCCACGTGTAATGGTGGGACCAAATATCGCCTACTCAGCCCATTCCGTCAATCCAGTCAGACTGTTAATTTACGCCGTTAGAACATTAGACGGAATTGGATATTTTGTATATTTCGATAGTTGTTGATATATTTGTCATAAACGTGATAGTTGTGGATATACATCTGTATTTTGCCATAATTTAAAAAGGAAATTTCCCCAACTTGATTCCAATTTCCCTTTCCCTTTCGATGAGAGTTACCAATTAAACTTATAAATTTTCAGGGTCCAGATCCCATCAGTAACCTTTTTGTCAGTAATTGTCAGTAACCAGTTCATCTACCGTCCATTGCATTTAATTTGTAACTGTCAGATCAGGAAAATTAAATACACGGAGGGGCAAAATCGTAATAGCGTCAACCCATTTAATGATGATACTGAGTTTTGACCAGATGCGAACCCCACAATGACTCCCACCCCATGCCTTCCTCCCTCTTTTTCTCCACCTTCACGCGTCCCCATGCTTTCCCTCTCTCTGACATCTGCAAACAAAAAAATAAATCATTTCTCTCAAACATTTTATTGTCTGTGACTAAGAGAAGAAGAAGAGAAACAATTCTCTCTCATCTAAACTAAAAAAAATTATCCATGTTTTCCCAAGTTTAACTCCAACTCTACAACACATATATATGAATCAAACCATCTAAACTCTCTCTGCTCTAACTTCAACTCAAATTTAATGGTGATGTCTTTATTCAATCATTTATGCTTAAAATGATAATTACAAGTATGAATATAATTACCACCTTCTACAACTATGGTATAACATAATAAAATATGCTAAAAAAATTACAAATCTAATTACCATACAATAGCACATGGTAATACATGCTAAAAAATTTGTAAATCTAATTACCATATCATACCACCATAATAGAACATGGTAAATCGAATGACCACAAATTAGTTATAATTATCACACAGTACCATATGGTAAGAGAAGGTAAAACCATATAACAACAATATAAATCTAATTAGCACCCTCTACCAACATGATAAAACATGGTAACCACGCAGTACCATATGGTAAGAGAAGCTAAAACCATATAACAATAATATAAATCTAATTAGCACCCTCTACCAACATGATAAAACATGGTAACCACACATTACCATATGGTATAGTGTGGTAATCTCAATATATATCTAATTACAACTTTATTCACTTTCTTGTCCACTTCATTGTCTTTAGACTCTTCTTTCCCGGAACTGGTGTCGATGACCACCCTCTACCACCATGATAAAACATGGTAACCATAAAAATACGTTTAGTTACCACACATTACCATATTGTATAGTGTGGTAACCACAATAAACATCTAGTTATCACATAACCACCATGGTAAAACATGGTAACCATAAAAATACGTATAGTTACCACACATTACCATATGGTATAGTGTGGTAACCACAATAAACATCTAGTTACCACATAATACCACAATGGTAAAACATGGTAACCATAAAAATACGTTTAGTTACCACACATTACCATATGGTATAGTGTGGTAACCACAATAAACGTCTAGTTACCACATAATACCACCATGGTAAAACATGGTAACCATAAAAATACGTATAGTTACCACACATTACCATATGGTATAGTGTGGTAACCACAATAAACATCTAGTTACCACATAATACCACAATGGTAAAACATGGTAACCATAAAAATACGTTTAGTTACCACACATTACCATATGGTATAGTGTGGTAACCACAATAAACATCTAGTTACCACATAATACCACCATGTTATAGTATGGTAACCACAATATACATCTAAGACATACTTCACATGCTCGTCTTCTGCCTCCTCTCATTTTCTCCTCCGCGTTTGAGAATACAAAAATAAAAATGAGGAAGATTGAAATTGAAAATCCGCAAAAAAATACTAAAGCATAAAACATGCAAACTCGACTCACCTAGATCTTTCCCCTCTTGATCGATATGGAGCTTCACCAAATTTGAGGTCGAGGACTTGACAAAGAGAAGAAACATAATGAAAGAAGGAGAATTCACTTTTCCCTCGTCCATTTCGGTGGGAAAAAAAAGAAGAGAAGGAGGGAGTATCTCAAGAGAAGAAGGATCTCGATGAGAAGAAACGCAATGAAAGAAGGAGGCTGCACTTTTCTTTCGTTCGATTGCTGGAAAAAAAATGAAGAACTGAAGAAGAGATCAGATCTGGAGAAGAAGAAGATTGGGAGAGAGAAAGAAAGAGGAAAGAGGAAGTTTTAGAAAAAGAGGAAAGGTTGCATTCTCTCTCCTCCATTCAAACCAGCTAATAAATGATGGACAAAATAAAAAAGGAAAGAATACAAAATTAAAGTAATGGACAAAAATACCCCTTATCATCTCCGCATCCATCCCAACCGCATGATGAATCCGCCCAAATCAACGGCTTGTAGATGGTTACTGACGGATGAGTAACCAACAGTTACTCACCCTATCTTGAGCCAAATTTTCATATGCGGACATTGCAGGAGACCGAGAACGACTACGTCGACAACAAGATCCGACTTCCCAGCTCTCGTACTCAGCCCAGTCAAACCCTCTCTCAGGCAACCACGAAAGCTCCGCAGCGAGCTCTATCCTGCATATCTAAATCGACATCGATCTCTCCATATCTGTATCAACCGCCATCACCTCGGCGACCAGCAGCCCATCGCCGGCCCTCTCATCACCACTCGTCGAGCCACGTCGACGCCATCAAATTCGCCAACTGTTGTTTCCGCCATCGCCGAAGCCTATCTCAAAGCCTTCTTGAGGACATCTACAGAAAATCCGCCAAAGACATCTTTCCCAGAAGAACAAAGCAATCAACCCAGAAATAGATTTTTCACAGTAGCACGAAAAGAAGAAAGCGGCAAGAGGAAACCAAACACATTTCTGGTGACTAGATCTTCCCAGAATTGAATGCGTCATCTGTCAAATTCCTCTGGACCAGCCCATTGGCGGTTAGAATCCACAATTAGTTTCAAATTCCCTCTGTCGGAGATTGAGGACCGGCCGTTGCGTTTTTCGTTGGGGAAGAAGGTTGGGAAAGGGATGGGGCTATGGGCCGAGTGAGCGGAGAGTAGAATTTTTTTATTTATTTTCACTTTATCTTTTTAATTTACTATTATCACATTATTTTATTTTTTATAGATTTTTATTTTCCACATGGCATCCACGTCAGCGTAGCATGCTGATTCACTAACGGTCAATGATGTTGACCGTCTAATTTGACGGAAATTCACGAGTTGGGCCAATTGAGTCTATATGGTGCATAGTTGAGGCCAGGATGTTAATTTCTTAAACCACGGGCCAAAGTTGATTATATGGTCATAGTTCGGGCCAAAATAAGGTATTAACCCTTTTCTTTTTGTAGTTTTTTTCTGTGAGAATTTTAAAGTTTTTTTCTAAATGCTGAAGCAACATTCTTGTCGGGTTCTCTCTCTTCTCTCTCTTATCTCTCTCTTTTCTGAACCTTAATTCGAGTTCCTACCGATGGCGGCCGTCACTGACGGAGCGGCAGCCGTCGGTGATGGTCGATCGTGGGTATCATTGTTCGGAATCCTGGAGGATAACCGTTTGGATTACTATGAGTCGGAGTACGTTAATGGCTCGCTGAGGATTTCGAGGGAGGTTGTGGAAGAAGGTGCTAAACGTTGGCAGAATAGTCTGGTGGGGCAATTTATTGATCGCCCGGCATCACTTTCGTCTATCAGATACTGGGTAACTGGCTCTGGGGGAAAGATGGGGAAGTCCGAGTTTCGGGAATGGGGAGGAGGCTAGTTCTCTTTCAATTTCCTAATGCTGAGATTTGTCAGTGGGTCTTCGAAAGCGGTCCTTGGCATCATAGGGAGAACTCATTGTTCCTGCGCAAGTGGGAGCCAGGGATTAGTCCTTTGAAGCTTGACAATTCGTCGCTGCCAATCTGGGTAAAACTTTCGCATCTGCCAACGGAGCTTACTTCCAAAGAGGGTATGGGACGAGTGGCAAGCTCTCTTGGTCGTCCGCTCTGTATGGACAAATCCACCACTCGAGGTAAGAAGGATGGTTTTGCTCAAGTCTGTGTAGAGGTTAAGGCTAGTGCTAAGAAGGTTTCGAAGTTGAGTGTTACGCCGGATGGATTGCCTGAGATTTTCATCGAGGTTGAATATTGTCATATGCCAAAAGTGTGTGAGAAGTGTTGTATGTTTGGCCACAGCTGCAGCAAGGCAGGCAAGATGACAAAGCAATAATGGCAGAAGAAGGTCCCAATTATTGGTGAGGTTCAGGATACTATTTCAACAAGTGAAAAGGAAGAGCAGAGTGAATGTAAAGATGAAAATGAAACTGATAATAGTGATGCTTCTGTAGCAGTGGTGATTGATAAGGGCAAGGCTGTGTTGACTGAGGATCGTGTGTGCTATCCAGTCTTCAGAAACTAAAACTCCTCCGCCTCAAGGAGGTTTGGTTAATGAAGATGGTTTTACTCTAGTAGTCCACAAGAAGAATAAGGTGTGGATTGGGTCAAGCTCAGGGCCTCAAGGGCAAAAGAATCTATCAGATAAGCTGGCTGCTGGTCAAGTCAATGGGAAGAGTGCACGAGTTGCTTTTCAGCCTCCTCCTCCATCTCCTCCAGAGGGTAGAGGGAGAGGCAAAAAGCGCGGAAAATGAAGATTTTAAGCTGGAATATCAGGGGTTTCAATGCCCCTGAAAAGCACTCAGCGGTATTAGAGCAGCTGAGGGTGAAGAATATTGATATTATAGGTTTATTAGAGACTAGAGTAAAGGAGGAAAATAAAAATAATATAGTAGCGGGTTGTTTTTCTGTCTGGAAGCATCTATC